GGAGGCAGCCGCGAGGTGTCCGATTTGGGCAAGTGAGGCCCGTGATCCGGGATGGTGGAGAATCTGCGCCCTCAGGCCGGGACAGTGTTCAACGCAGGGCGGGGGACGGGGGACGGGGGATGGGCGGGGGAGAGTGAGATTTCCCCCTATTTCTTCGACGCCAACAGAAACTCCCTTGCTCTAGCGTAGTGGGAACGAGCTGGGGAGGAAGGTTACTGCAGGAACGCGCTAGGTTGCCTTAATTTTCAGCTTTGCTATATGGCTTTTGGGAAAAACAGGCGTGGGTGCGCTGACTAGGAGAAAAAGCTCAACGTGTTATGCACTGAATTTATTTTTTCTTAATTTCCTTTCTTGGTCCGCCTCGCGACTGTGCTCCTAGCAGGCATGAAGACCCCGTTTGGAAAGGCGGCTACAGGGCAGCGGTCCAGGACAGGCGCAGGACACACCAGTATGTCTGTTACCATGATGAAGAGGAAGGCTGCACACAAAAAGAATAGGAGCAGACCCACGTCCCAGCCTCAGAGGAACATAGTGGGCTGCAGAATTCAGCACGGATGGAAAGACGGAGATGAACCTCTAACACAGTGGAAGGGAACTGTTCTGGATCAGGTACCTGTAAATCCCTCTCTGTATCTTATCAAATATGATGGATTTGATTGTGTTTATGGATTGGAACTTCATAGAGATGAAAGAGTGTCATCACTTGAAGTCCTTCCTAATAGAGTTGCATCATCTAGAATCAGTGATACACACTTAGCAGACATCATGATTGGCAAAGCAGTGGAACATATTTTTGAGACAGAGGAAGGGTCCAAAAATGAATGGAGGGGGATGGTCTTAGCTCAGGCGCCTGTCATGAACACATGGTTTTACATTACCTATGAGAAAGATCCTGTATTGTATATGTATCAGCTCTTAGATGATTATAAAGACGGTGACCTCCGCATCCTTCAAGATTCCAATGATCCTCCTCCCGCAGAGAGGGAGCCAGGAGAAGTTGTAGACAGCCTAGTAGGCAAACAGGTGGAATATGCCAAAGACGATGGCTCCAAGAGAACTGGCATGGTCATTCATCAGGTAGAAGCGAAACCCTCTGTGTACTTCATCAAATTTGATGATGATTTCCATATCTATGTCTACGATTTGGTAAAAACATCTTAGAGGTCATCTTGAGATTTGCCAAATACGTGAGACTCTGTAAAATCTGTAAACACAAAAAGTCTTGATTGCTTTCCAGTTTGTAAGAACCATCTTCCTTTTTGCACATTTTTGCCTGGCAAAAGAATTGGAACTTACATCCTAAGAGATGTTTTTGGAAGAAACTTTTTGCCTTTCTCTTCAATCTTTTGACTGGCTCCTCTCCACAGGAGAGTGATTAATTTAACTGATTAGTGAGAAGGGTAAAGTCTGACATCCATTGGTCCACATTTTCATCTTCAGTGGTGTTAATAGGTTAAAGGTAGCTGAACACCTCTCACCTCACTCTTTGGCACTTGGACTCTCTGCACTCACTGAGGTGTGAAGCTTCCTGAGATATCCTGTGTGACTGGCTGGGTAAGTGTGTTTGCAATCTCAAATCCCACCCCCACCCCACCCCCAGTGGTTTTTGTAATGGCTTCAAAAGTCTCATTTGGGGAGGAGTGGGAATCTCATTTTGATCTCCCATCCAAGTTGCATTCTCAATTCTTCTAACTGTACTAAAAGTAAGGCTGACATTTTGCTCCCTTTCTGATTCTTTCTCAACTAGTTCAGAATCAAGAGGATAACTACTTTTAATTTTAGTACATATGTAAGCATAGGCTGAGAAATCTTACAAAATTAATGAGGGCAAGCATTTGGGGACCAAACTCCAAGTGGAGAAATCAAGATTTCTGGTGGAGCTTAAGTGGAAGGTTTTGGTTATCAATGACATTAGGGTCTGTCTTGACTGCAATAGCTCTGTCTGGTATCTGCAGACATGGAGTGGGTTTTAACAGATGCAGGCTGTTCGGGCTGACTTTAGCACAAGTGGGCTTTGTCAGCTCAGTGGAGCATTAAGCCAGGCTCTAGATAGAGTCCTCAGTCACAGGACAAAGGCTGGGTTTATCAATGGTTAACCAGGACCTCAAAATGAAATAGAAAAAATTTAGAATCAGGCTGAGATACAGATTTCTTTCCTGTACCAAGAAAGACTTTTTTAAAAAGTGCTAGATAATCTGTAGGGTTAATGATGTTTTAAGTACTGGCATTGGTAGATAGAAATTGAATAGATTTTTGTTAGTGTTTTGTTTTTTAACTCTCCTATTTCTTGGCTGTCCCTAAGAAACTTGTGCACAAATAAGGGCAAGCCCTACTGTAGCAGAAAAGTAAGCAATGAAAGGGGACTTGTACCTCCCACTATTGAAGGCATTAGTGAAGGTTAACCAAAGCCTAGGAAAGAAAGGTTGAAAAACAAGCAAGGGTTTGGAGAGAAGCACCTGGCCAAAGCCAATGCATTCTCATTGGAGTTTTGACAGAAGCTCCATTAGCACTAACAATCTAATAAGGCCTTGGGCATCTGCAGTGGGAATTGTGGGGCTGGGACTCATTGCAGTACAATCAACCATTTGGAAGATATCTTCCAAATTAGTTTAAGTTCACAGGTCGTGGAATCCAGACTACCATCACAGACAGACTGGCATCCTGCTGAGAATGAAACTGAGAAGATATTTTCTATTCTCCCATATTTTCTCTGTCTACTTTCCTTCTTTTTGATGCCACTAAGTCTTTGCAATGCTATTGGACTGAAAACAGCAATGAGGGTCTGTATCGACCTATGTACTAAGTCCTGGGGACATAAACTTGCTTGGGGTAACTGTTCTAGTGTCTGGGGATTACTGTGCTTTCTAATTTTGGGGATGTGAGGCTGACACCATGATAATCTTATGTCCTATTGACCCTTTGGACTTTTAAAAATGTATGATACACAATTGTGGGGTTAGATTAATTCAGCTCCTGAGGTCCTGAAGGAACTGCACCCAATCAAGAGGAAGACAGCCCAGGCTGCAACTGCTGAAGGAACCCCATATCTGTCCAGACATCTTTGTGAAATCTGTATGGTTGAAATGAAAAAATCAAGAACTTGGGAAAGGCAGAATTTTGGACTTTAATTCCTTTGGACTTTAAATTAGAAATTTATTTAATTTGGGGCATTCATTTTTCCCTTGGAGTTTAATAGTTGATGGGAATTTCATTAGTTCAAATTAAGGCATTATGTTGTTTACATTGTATTATTTGGAGTATTTTAATGCTATCTTTGGGGTCATTATATGATTTTTGTAAGCTATGTCAGGTAATATGTCTGGCCATAATTGTAAATTGGGGATAAAATAGTGAATTTTCAGCCTAGGGTATAATAGAGCCTTCGAGTTAGTGTAATTACTGCCCTATTCTGACTCATTTCAGAGCCTCCTGGGGGCAAAAACAGAACTGCTCACCAGTCTTACACAGGTGGGAGCAGAACTTTCCTAAAACACTACTGGTCTCCCTGGACAGGGACAGCCACAGTACTGTTTGTTGACCAGAGTCTTGGATGTTAACCACTATGGCTTAAGAGTACAAAAATGTCCAAGAATGTGATGAGATTTATCCTCTGTCTCTCTCCATGTTCCTGACCCAAGGGGAAAAAGAAAGACTTGCACCTCTCAAAAATCCTTGGAAGAAGGTTTCTACCCATTTCCCCTTGCCAGCATTCAGTCTTCTGTGTGGGAGGAGGAATAACTTGATGAATTGAGAAAAGGGTTAATAATAGATAGGCAGCCTATGCCCCTCTTGGCTGTTGATCTCACTCCTCACAGCAAAGTGTGAAAAAGACTGCAGTCCTTCACTTCTGGCTGGATAAATATCTGCTCTGTAGACCCAACTCTCCCTTGGGATGGGGGATCCCAATGTCTTTAGACTTAGGATAGAAGTTCATTTCCACCTCAGGTTCAAGCCATGTTCTCCAATCCAGCTCTAGCAACAATAAGCTGATATCTATTTTTATTTTTTTAATTTTAATATACAAATTATTTTTTTGAAAAATAACATGCCAATGATAAAAATCAAACAGTATAAAAGGATATACAGTAAAAAGTAAGTCTCTTTTCCTCCTTCCCACCCTTGGCCTCAGTGCCCCAGTCCAGCTTTCCAAAGGTAACCACTGTTACCAGTTATTTATGTATCCTTCCAGAGATAGTCCATGTATTTACAAGCATATTGTGTGTGGGTATGTGTGTGTATCAGTTTTTTACACAAATGGTGGCATACTATACATGCTGTTCTGAATTTTGCTTTTTTCACTTTACAATATATTAAAGCTGATATTTTAATCCTTATTTGATTCCTGTGTATATTTTTTAGTTGGTTCAGAATCTGGAAGGGAAGGAGGTTTGATTAATTCAAACCTTCAAACCCTGATTTAGTTTAATGAAAATTTACATGATCCTACAAACCCACAATTTCTGCCAGCCAAATTATTCTGAATAGTACAATGTGAAAGATATATAAACATGATATATTTTGTGGGAAGAATTCCTTGAGAGAGGACAATGTATTTTTGAGGGAAGTTAAAGGGAAAATCAACCATACACTGAAGCTATGGGAAAAGTTAAAGTAATGTAATCAGTAATCCAAAATGAAATGAACAGTCATTTTTTTTAAATTGAAACTTGCACTCACATCTACTGCCACGTGAAAATTTATGCTAATGGTTTTGATTTGCCTTTTCTAACAGAACTTCCCTGCATGTAACAGGAAACCCATTTCAAACAAGTTTAAACAAACATCATTAATTCATGTAACTATGAAATGAAAATCCAAAGGTCAGATGGGCTTCAGGCACAGTTTGAATTGGGGCTCAGTCTCAATGTCTATGATTCTTCAGGATTTTCCTTCTGTGTGTCATTTTCATTCTCAGACTGCCTTTCCTCATGGTAGCAAAATTGGACCAGCAGTTTCAGGCTATAGCAGTTTTGTCTAGAGAAAGATGGACAACCTGTGTCCTATGATGCATTCTCAACTGGCTGAGGTCGCATACCTGCACCAATCACTGAAGTCCCATGAATGAAATACTCTTATTGGTCATGTGTTCCATACCTGAACCCTAGAGTATATCTCCCTGGAACCAAATGGATTCCCAGTAAAATCAAAGGCTTTGAGGAAATGAAGAATGACTGCTATGAACCAATCACAAGTGTCTAGCTTTTTCTTTTGGGTACCTATTTCTGTTCCCAAAGGAATTTAAAGAAAACTTAAGTCCTATCCAGTTACTGTGTTCAACATTAAGTTCTGGATCTTTAGTTGATATGCAGCCATCTTCAGACCCATCTTCCTAGAAATCTGATTATCTATAGTTAAGTTATAAACTACGCTTTACCTCAACATACCCAATATACACTAGTGGAGAGATAACTAGATAATAAAATATAATAACACCTACTATTTGAAAAGGGAGGAGATAGGGAAAAATACACAGTAGTTTCTGGTCCAAAGCATATATCAAAATCTGTTCGATAAGGACTCCCTGTCTGGGCAGTTGAGTGAGACCTCTGGTCAGACAGGCTCTTTTTGTTCTCTGGGAGGGTCTCCTTTGGAGGCATATCTTGGGTGTATGCCCTTTCTGGGGGATGAACAGCTTTATGAGTCTACTCTATTTTACCCCATTTCTTGTGCCTGGGAGTTAAACAATCACAGTTTTTTGTTGTTGACCATGATTAGAGTTTTTTTGATACTGTAGTTTTCAAATTTTAGCATGCATCAGAATCACCTGGAGAACTTGTTAACATACAAATTGCTGGGGCCCAACAACAGAAATTCTGATTTAGTAGGTCTAGGGTGGTGTCCAAGGATTTATATTCATAACAAGTTCCCACATGAGACTGATGCTTCTGATCCACCTTGAAGGTCACTGCATTGTAGGTAGCAATTGAGTGAGGCCAGAGTCATTATTTTCTAAACTTACTTACCTGGGGTACATGAGAAATATAAATTCGTGAGCCCCACTTTAGATTTTGTTTTGTGTGTGGTTTTATTTTTTTATTTTATTTTATTTTTTGGTGGCTGGCCAGTAAGGCGATCTGAACACGTGACCTTGGTGTTATCATGTAGGGAAAGTGAAGGAAAATGGTCAGGGTCCCTCAGATGTTCAGAATCTTGCTGAGCACTTGATGTCAATATGCACATGCACCCAGGTGTTCCTTGGCTATTGTCTAATGTAATTTGCACATGTGCACCCAGGTGTCCTGGGTTATGGACTTAAGTATAAAGGATGAGTGGCTCTGCTCCATCTGCTTTCCACTCCCGGGATGCCCCCAGGGGGCACAGGGAGGCTGGTACTGCTGGAGGCTGTTGCTGTGAGCTGTTGCTGTCAGTGTCCCTGGGATGCCCTGAGACGCCACTGCTGCTGCTGCCGGATCTTCTGTAAGCTGCTGCTGCTACTGCTGAGGACTGAGCTTGTGTCATCTGCCAGTGGCTTCTGGGATCCTTCCCAATTACCTTGCATGGACCTGTGTGTGAGGGGTCTGGTGACCCAGCCTGGCATGTGAGGCGTCTGGTGACCCAGTCTGTACAGACAATGGGTTTGAAGGGTCTGAGCCCTAGCTCTGACAATACAAATGGAAACTTAGTTTAACTAAAATAATGAAACATTTTGGCTTTAGTTATGAGCTGCCTAGCCATACAATTGGCATAGCTATTGCCTCAACCCGACAACTGGCATAGTCTGTAGCAATACAAGTCAGCACCACGCTCTACCTACTGATCTAACCAGCCAGCTGACCTCCACTTTAGATTTATTTATTTATGTATCCATTTATTTACTTGGCAGCTGGCTGGCATAGGGTGCACTTTAGATTTAATGATTCAAAATCTCTTGGGGAGGGAACTGGGGAGGCTGTACCAGACACCCCAGGTGATAATGATTAGGAAACGTTGGCCTAGGAAATTAGGCTTTTTGCCCCTAATTTTATTTCCTAATAAGTTTCTCATCACTTTGCTCTTGCTCTCACTAAGCTTCGTTTGGGGTAAAGAATTTGGCTTTCTAATCCTACAGAGTTCCAAATTACCCATGTCTCTATCAACTAGGATTTTAGGCAACCAGTAACTAAGCCAATAAAGCTTTATTTTCATCCTTCAATATTTTCAACGATGG